TGAAAAGTTCAAATGAATGCATTTTCCTGCCCCATGTATACAGATTGTCATCTGTACAATGAACTGTATGTATGAAAGCAAATGTACTTATTTATAAATGGCTAACACTTGGAAAACCACGGTGTTGTGATGCTTTTCTCCTTCCGTTACAGCCTCTTCAGGGAGCTGGCTTTGAAGCTTACCCTCCTGAGGATGCAGTGATGGGGGCGCCCTCCCCCAGGAGGCACTGGGCAGGTTAGGGCTAAGGCCAAATTCCCGATGATTTGCTTGGTCTCTTGTGGGACATTCAGAGCCACCCCTTTGTGCATTTATTCGCTTGGTCACGTTATTGAGCACCTCCTGTCCTCAGAGTTGGACACTGTGATAGGCCCTGGAGAGAGCTGTGGATAACAAGAGACGCCATTCTAAGGAGCTGTCAGCTTGTGACATTTGTCAAGAAAGGGAAGCTTTTTCTTCATTGGAAGAGGTTTTTCTCCAGCTATACCAAGGGAGCACTGAGCTCTCATTTCATTTTGTAGCTGAAGCTGCACCCAACCCAGCCACCCTACCAAAGCCAAGGCTGAGGCGGGCTGCCAGCTTGAGTGGCTGCATTTAGAGGCTGCATGCTGAGAGGGTAGCGAGCGGAGGGCACAGTTCCCACTGAATACCCAAGGGCTTCGTCACAACTGGAGGCCCACTGCTTCCAGGGGCTTTGTCTTTTCATCAGAAATCTGGTCAAACTCCAGTCCTCACCATAGAGAGCTAGGCAGCTGCATTGTGAATGGAAAAGTAGCAGGTTTCCTGCAACTGGCTGGAGACTCAATACTTTCTAAAAGGGAGCAGGGGTCACGGGGAGCAGCACTGAGCCTGCAGCCTTTCCTGTTTAACTGCGACCTCTGTGTTTACTTCAGGGACAAGCGAGGAGGGAGACCACTTCCTCTAGACATCAGATTTGTGCTAAACAAACATTCCTGCTGTGCGTACCTGCATTTCCCAAAGCCTGGGGAAGCAGACAAACTCCAGGCCACACAGCCCAGCCTGGACGCCACAATTGCCTTCAAAGAGAAGAGGGGACTCTGGCAGCAACCACCTGCTCAATCTCAAAACCATTCCTGGGCTGCTCCCATTATTTCATTAAAAAATGGATAAATCAGGGCCAGGCACGGTGGCTCACACCGGTAATCCTAGCACTTCAGGAGGCCGAGGCAAGCGGATCACCAGGTCAGGAGATCGAGACCATCCTGGCTAACACAGTGAAATCCCGTCTCTACTAAACAAAATACAAAAAATTAGCCGGGCATGGTGGCGGGCGCCTGTAGTCCCAGCTGCTCGGGAGGCTGAGGCGGGAGAATGGCGTGAACCCGGGAGGCGGAGCTTGCAGTGAGCCGAGATCGCGCCACTGCACTCCAGCCTGGGTGACAGAGCAAGACTCCATCTCAGAAAAGAAAAATAAAAATAAATAAAAGATAAGTCATTGGCAAAACCCCAGATTTTTAATTTATATTTTATATTTTTTTTTCCTTTTTTTTTTTTTTGAGACAGAGTCTCACTCTGTCACCCAGGCTGGAGTGCAATGGCATGATCTTGGCTCACTGCAACCTCCACCTCCCAGGTTCAAACGATTTTCCTGCCTCAGCCTCCCTAGTAGCTGGAATTACAGGCACCCGCCACCATGCCCAGCTAATTTTTGTTGTGTGTTTTTTGTTTTTTTTTTTTTTTTTTGAGACGGAGTCTCGCTCTGTCGCCCGGGCTGGAGTGCAGTGGCGCGATCTCAGCTCACTGCAAGCTCCACCTCCCGGGTTCACACCATTCTCCTGCCTCACCCTCCCGAGTAGCTGGGACTACAGGCGCCCGCCACTTCACCCGGCTAGTTTTTTGTATTTTTAGTAGAGACGGGGTTTCACCATGTTAGCCAGGATGGTCTCAATCTCCTGACCTCGTGATCTGCCCACCTCGGCCTCCCAAAGTGCAGGGATTACAGGCGTGAGCCACTGCGCCCGGCCTAATTTTTGTATTTTTAGTAGAGATGGGGTTTCGCCACGTTGCCAAGGCTGGTCTCAAACTCCTGATCTCAAGTGATCCACCCACCTCAGCCTCCCAAAGTGCTGGGATTACAGGCATAAGCCACTGCGCCAAACCTAGATGTTTTGTTTTGTTTTGTTTTGCTTTTAGATGGAGTCTCACTCTGTCACACAGGCTGGAGTGCAGTGTTGTGATCATAGCTCACTGCAGCCTCGATCTCCTGAGCTCAAGTGATCCTCCCACCGCAGCCTCCCAAGTACCTGGGACCACAGTGCGTGCCACCACGCCCTGCTAACTTTTGTTTTGTTTTGCAGAGATGGAGTCTTGCTATGTTGCCCAGGCTGGTCTTGAACTCCTGGCCTCAAGCTGTCCTCCCGCCTTGGCCTCCCAAAGTGCTGGGATTACAGGCATGAGCCACCACACCTGGCCAAACCCCCAGCTTTTTAAAGAAGGAAAGGTAAAAGGGAATGATTCCTTTTTAAAAACTATTAATACTTCTTAAATAGAATTTACCCTCAACCTTATTGAAAAGCTACTCAGAGTAGAAGCAAACAGCAAACTCAGCAGAAGTCTGTGTAGATCGCAGCACCAGGTCAGACTTTCTTCCCCTGGTCATCTGCTCACGGGTCGACCTCATGACTGCAGGCAGACACAGTACGCACATGCACGTGGCGCCCAAACTCCCCTGCGGTCGTCTGGGAACGGGTAGACAAACCAGCGGGAAGTGGAGTCACCCTCTCTCAGCTTTAAAAACAAGCTGGAGGAGCTTGGAGTCTTGGCACCTGAGTTATTCCATTCTCAGGAATAAGACGGGGCATTGATAACGGGTATCATGTCTGGAAGGCCCTGCGATAAAGAGAGGGCCCGCTTAGAAGAGAAGGTGCTCAGAGTCCATTCTAACAGGCCATCCTCTTGGGAGGTCCACTGTGTCCCAGACACTGTGATAGGGACTTCACATACGTTCCCTAATGTATTCCTCACACCTTGACAGACGACATTGCTGTCTCCAAAACAAATGCGGAAGCAGATCCTGCAAGTTGAAGTTGCTCAGGGTCACAGAGGCAAAGGTAGGCGTCTGAATCAGAGCCGCACTGACAGTTCTTCCTTCCACCACGCCGCCTCCTCAGATGGGATGGTCTGAAAAGAGCAAGCAACCCAAATGACGCCCCACGGCGCGCAGGTGCTGGGTCTGGGAGGATGGCTTGGGAAGTGCCGTGTGCTTGTTTGGAGAAATAACTCTATGCCAGTCAAGGAGTCGCTTTGGGACCTCTCAGGTTCCCAAACCCAGTAAGAAAGTGAGGTCCCTGCTGTTACCCAGCTGGAGATTCGTAGAGGAAGAGGTGAAGTGGCTCTCTGGAGAGGGAGGCATCATCCCCCAGTGCCTGGGATCACTTCAACATTCACAGAGATCCATAAGATTCAGAGGCTGATGCAAAAAAAAAAAAAAAAAGAAATGAGATGCTGACTGAGGAACCAGCTTGTGACACGTATCAAGCCATGTGCTTTGAATGCTTTTCAGTAAATAAAGGTCCACACTCAGCTGGGCATGTGGCTCACACCCATAATCCCAGCACTTTGGGAGGCTGAGGCAGGTGGATCACCTGAGGTTGGGAGTTCGAGACCAGCCTGACCAATATGGAGAAACCCCGTCTCTACTAAAAATACAAAAATTAGCTGCGCACGGTGGCGCATGCCTGTAATCCCAGCTACTTGGGAGGCTGAGGCAGGAGAATCGCTTGAACCCGGGAGGCGGAGGTTGCGGTGAGCTGAGATCGTGCCATTACACTCCAGCCTGGGCAACAAGAGCGAAACTCCGTCTCAAAAAATAAGAATAAAAATAAAGGTCCACACGGAAGCCTTCATTCAGGAGGGACTCTACAGGTGCCCTAAGGAAAGACCTCTCCGCTCTAACTCCTACACGTTAGAGACCAGCTACAATGCAGAAGACAAAGTTGAGACCAATGCAGGGAAGCAGGGACTCCCGTTACCTTACTAGAAGATTTGCTGTTGGCTCCCTTTAAATAGTGAGCTCTGGTGAGTTTTTAAATTGGTTTAAGTCAGGGGTCCCCAGCCCCAGGGCCACAGAGCGGTATGGGTCCATGGCCTGTTAGAACCTGGCTGCACAGTAGGAGGTGAGCAGCGGCGGGTAAGCATGAGCACCTGAGCTCCACCTCCTGTCAAATCAGCTGCAGCATTAGAGTCTCATAGGAGTGCAAACCCTATTGTGAACTGCGCATGCCAGGGATCCAGCTGCCTGCTCCTCAGGAGAATTGAATGCCTGATCTGTCGCTGTCTCCCATCACCCCCAGATGAGACTGTCTAGTTGCAGGAAAACAAGCTCAGGGCTCCCTATAATTATTTCATTATATATTACAATGTAATAACATAAAATGCACAATAAATGTAATGTGCTTGAATTATCCCAAAACTATCCCCTGCCCCCAGCCCTGGTCTGTGGAAAAATTGTCCTCCACAAAACCTGTTCCTGCTGCCAAAAAGGTTGGGACCACTGCTTTAAGTGGCAAGGCACAAAGCGCACAGTGCAGTCCCACCCAAATTTGCCAAAAACACACCCTCTGCCTGAGCCACGTACGTGGATCTAAAGTGGAATCTCAGCTTGTTCCAAAATCTTTGCTCCTCTTCTTAAGGATCAAAAAGACTGGTTTCAAAGGGAAAGGGGTCCATTAAACACTGGGAGATTCTCCTTGCCAAGGCTCTTACCAGGCTTTTGCAGCTCCGCCCTCCAGGCCACCCTCTCAGGCTGAGAGCAAGGGTTTATCTAACTACATAGAAACAGTGCCTCTGCTGGGTGGAGTCTGGACAACCGCTGGGCCTTTTCAGACCCTAGGCCATGATCAATATCACTAATCACTTTACCTTCTGTGCCCAGCCTGCAGATATTCAGTTTCTCTCAGGCCTAGAGCTAACGTCATGTTTCTGGCTGCTAAAAGCTCTGGCTCCTTTTATTACCACATTAAAGGAAAATAACAGGCGAGAGGTCTGCTGTAGACATTTATTGAATCATCTGTTGCACCAACAGCACATTGTATTTCACAGAAGATTGGCCACAGGCAAAATAAAATAACCCACCACAAATCTGCTTCTGGGGGCCTTCTTCGGTTCCTTAGTCATCCAGTGTTCACTTTGGCAAACAGACCAGTTTACAGACTTTTGTTGCTAATCTGAGGTTCCATTTCTCTCTGTAGCATTCTGGCTAGGGAGAGACACGATTGTACTTTGGTAGTTTGTCTAAGGCGGAGTCTTCCCGAACGTAAACATTTCACTATACATGTGCGTGCCAGCTCATGAAAGAACTGACGGTGCCCCTGCCCCTGAAGAGTGTACAGTCTAAACAGGAGGCGAACACTGTCATCCAGGCAGGCTGAGAGGAGGTGGGGAAAGGGGCTGGAAGGAGCCTGGGCAGCCCCTGCTGGGGAGGGGCCTGGACTACAACCACCTGCTCTCAGAAATGACATTGCCTGAGGCAGGAGCCACAGCAAAAGCCAACTAAGGGAAACGCGAGCATTAGAGAACACTGGCCCCTTTCTCTAAGGTCATCAGGTTTGGAAATTGTATTAAGTTCTTCACTGAAGTACACTGTGTCTGTGTCAAGCTAAGTCATGCTCCTCAAACCCCCAAAAACAAGGAAAACAGGGAGAGAACAGTCACCAAGTCACCAGATCCAAGAAGCACATGATCAATGTTCTTTTTTTTTTTTTTTTTTTTTTTTTTTTGAGCCTGTCGCCCAGGCTGGAGTGCAATGGTATGATCTCGGCTCACTGCAAGTTCCACTTCCCGGGTTCACGCCCTTCTCCTGCCTCAGCCTCCCAAGTAGCTGGGACTACAGGCGCCCGTCACCATGCCCAAGTAATTTTTTGCATTTTTAGTAGAGATGGGGTTTCACTGTCTTCGTCAGGATGGTCTTGATCAATGTTTTACTCACACTATTTCCGGGCCAAAGCCAAATGGTGGCTCAGCTAACATGACACTCTATATGGCTACAGTGATGTGCAGACGCCACAGGGGATGACCTGGTTCTGCCTCAGTCCTGACTTCCTGGAGAGACGGGCACCAGGGAAGAAGGAGAAGCCTTGTCCTCCAGAACAGAGGCAGCAGCTCCAGCAGCCCCAGGGGCCCCAGCCACAGCCAGAAGCAGCGGTTTTTCATTTAAAAAATTCTACGGTTTGTGCTCTCTGCCTCCCAGCCTGAGCAGAGCCTGGGTGAGCCTGGGAAAGGAAACCAGAGCTGAGCTGCAAGGGGGGTGCTGCAAGGAGGGAGCCCCAGCAGGAAGGCGCTGCAAGGTGCCCCCTATTCCCAACTCCCATGTCTGGAGCAGCCCGGGAGAAGGCCTGCCTCCATCTGCCAGGAGAAAGTCTGTCTGAAGTCATGGGCTTCTATCCCCTCTCCACCAAAGCCGTCCTAGGGCTAGAGGGTTAAAGAAGAGGAAGGTCAGGACTATAGCTGGGCCACAGCCTCACTCAGAGCTTCCCAGGGGCCAGTCCCTCCCCTCTCCTGGGGAACCTTGCTCTCACCACCAACATACTTTACACATCATATCACTTGCTCCTCTGCCAAAGGCTGGGCCCATTCGTGCCACGTGTTATTTGGGCTGGAGGGACTCTTTGTTTGAATTCAGCAGCCATCGTGGCCTTTCCAGGCCTGTCCCTGAGGCCCCCCCAGTTTCCCCTGGCCTTGCCCCAGGCATCTGCTGCCGGGAGGGTGGGTCCTCTTGTCTCGCTTCTTTAAAGACCTGTGCTCTGAGACCAGGACTGACCACCCGAAGTCCCACCCAAAGCCTTCTGCACTGAAGGGGGCAACAGAGACACGGGAGCTACACACAATGAACTGGTCTATAGCAGCAGAGAAAGGAGAAGCAGAGGAGGCAGAGACCTGACCCCAGAAAGCAGCACTCAAATAGACGCAGCTGCGCCCACCCACCCGCCTGCTGCCAGAGCCACTCTCTGGAGCCTGCAATCCTGAAGATGCCTTAGCAGGAGTGGGCAAGAAGACACCCCGTGAACCCCCAGGGCCGGCCCAGTGCATCACTGGGAGCCGGGGCTGTCTCCCTCCGTCAGCGTCTTGAAGTCCATGGAGAGGGCCTGCTCTTCAGCCTGGGAAGGCCGCTTCCAGTCAGCCCGAGTCAAGATATAGAGCACCGCCCCACCGAAGCAGGCCAGCAGCAGGCCCAGCACATTGGCCAGGACGCCCTCGGGCTCAAACGCACTGTACTTGTCCCTGCAGGGGTGAGAGGAAGGGAGAAGCTGCCCAAGAGGTCACAGGCCAAATGCCCGTATCCTGGGCCTTAAAGATGTCATAGGGATTCCAGTACTAGCCCCTGCCTCCCTACCCTACCCAAAGAGAACGACCACCCCCCACCCCCAACAGCAATCTCCAGCAATCTCTAATGTAAAACCAGCAATCTCTAATGTAAAACTCTGTATCAATACTCTAGTTCTAAGCAGTTCTCCTGCAGATCCTGCTACGTGATGGGAATAAATAGGGTGCCCATAGCCCAGAAGTTTCTTGGAAAGGAAAAAAATCAAGAAAGCTAACCAAAGCCAAGCCCCATGCACCCAATTCTTAGCAAGCATAACTACAGCCACCCGTTGTGAGGCCACAAGAGACGGCTCAGGAAGCCACAGCTGGGGAAGCCGAGGGCAGGGTGAGGTCTGTGCAGGGGTGGCCCAGGCCTGCCCCCTCCCACCCAGGACACTCACCCGAGGTTGAACAGCAGTGCCTCCTTCAGGCCCAGCAGGGCAGTGCCCACGGAAAGCAGAAAGATGGTGGCACCAAAGAAGATGTGCTGTGGCCGGTAGCGGCTCCGCAGGGAGAACGGAGCTCCGGGGAACAGGAAGAAGCTGAAGCCCACCAGCCACTAGGAGGAAAGAAGGTGGTTCTGGGACAGGGCAGCCGGCAACCCCAGCAGCCGAGGTCAGCCCAGGCCCACGCCCATGCGCCCACATGGCGACTGCGAGCCCCTCAGCCCTGCCTGGTTTCCTCCCTCCTCAGCACGGTGGTGGGAGGAGTACTAAGTGCTTAGGGACAAGGGACCCGTCCCCCAGCACTTGAGGCCTTGGCACACTCGCAGATCGGAAAGCTGGGCTTGTGGCCAAACACACTGAGTCAGCCATGGGGCGCCTGGGAGCTGGGCACCCTTGGCCGCCAATCCTAGCTTTGCACCCACACAGGCCTGGGAAGACAGCTCTCTCACCTGCACGCACCCCAGAAAACAGGCCCTTCCATGAGGCACGTTTCAGCCCAGCTCCCCTGCCCCTCCCACCTCCCTGGTAGGTGGCCACAGGCCCTGGGCGCTGGAAGAGCTCACCTGCACAAAGTACAGGACAAAGACAAGGATCCCGCACCAGCTGTGCAGGCTGTACAGGTCCGCGTAGCCCTTCTTCCTGTGGTAGTCGAACACTGCGACCAAGCCTGGGCCAGAGATAGGTCATGTGAGGACAGGGTTAGACGTGGAAAAGGAAGGGATAAGACGACCCAAGGAACCAGCTAGCAGGGACTTCTGGACTTTAGTACCAGTTCAATGGCTGCCAGCACCCAGTGGCCCTGCAGGGGATGTTTGGGATGGGGGCGGGCCCATCACGGCTCTGGGGAGGGAACAGAGCAGGTAAAGCGGCTGTTTGCCATACCTGAAGAGACAGGCAGGGGGCGGGGAAGGCTGCGCCCAGGAACTCACCAACCAGGGCGATGACGAGCGCAAAGACGTGCAGCAGCCCATGCAGGACCTTGGTGGTGCGTTTGGCTTCATTTCTGAAGACACGGTAAACCAGTAGGGCTGTGAGAGGTGAGAGAGGGAACGTGAGTGCATCCGCCTGCAGTGAGGCCTCCTGCCCCCGCAGCAAGGAGGCACCTTGGTGGCGAGGTGATGTGAGCTGACAGCTTGCAGCAGGAGCCTAGCTGCAGGAACTGGAGGAGAAAGCCAGGTTCCCTGGGGACCCTGGGCAGCTCCTGGCCTTCTCTGAGGGCACCTAAGGCTGTGTGCACCTTAACACTCCTCCCCCACCCTCCAACCTCCCCCAACTGTGCACACTCAAAGAGGGCAGGGCGGGAGACTGTACCACAGTCCCCACCACCAGGAGAGGCAGTGAAGGCGGCGCCTCTGCCCTCGTCCCCACCTAAAGGAGCTGCCCGGCCCAGCAGACACCCCACCCCACCCATCTTCTTGTCAGGTGTCCTGCAAATTCCAGGCTGTGTTTGAGGTCCACTGTTGGTCACACTGAGGCAACAAGCAGCCTGAGTTGACCTGTTAGCCACGTGGCTCCTCACACAGGCCCCCACCTAAGCCTGGGCAGATCATCCCACCCTGGCTCCCAAGCAGAACCTTGTGATCCCAGCCTGATCTCCCACTTCCAGAAGAGGTGGGCAAGGCCAGGTCACGTGAGGAACGCCTCTTAGCTTTCTGCTGCTCAGGGGTGGCTGTCACCAGGACCACCTCTAGGAAGAGCCGGTCAACCAGATGCAGATTCGGCTTCCAGGATACCTGGCCTGGAGGCAGGTGGAGGCCAAGCACTGCCTTGCTCCTGCCCCAGGGGGAGGCCTCTAGCTCTGCCAAGTCCAAGACCAACAACACATAGGCGCGTGCGCACACACGCATACAAACTCTCACATGTGCTTACTTTTTTTCCCTCAGTTCAAACCACCCCTGCAGCAGGGCCTGGTTCGGGGCCCCATTCCTTTCCCTCTGCGGCATGAAGCGCCTGCCTTGGACGCTGTGCGTGGAAACGAGGTGAAAATGCTGGGCCAGGCTGGAGAGGAGCTGCCACCCACCAACCTCAGAGCCTGGGTTTGGATTCCATCTCCCCAGGCTCTGAACCAGCTTCTGTCTGTCTTTTCTAGAATCTTAGATTTGTCCAACCAGAAGAGACCGCAGGGGTGACAAGACCCCTGCAAACTGCCTCTCAGGGACCCCACAAGCCCGGGCCGAGAGGAGCGGCCCACGGGACTCACCATCTCCCTGCAGGAAGACGAGGCCTATGACCATGCAGAGGGGGTGCGCGTTGAACTGCAGGTCGCTCTCCCAGGCAATGCCGCCTCGGTACAGCCCGAGCCAAGCGCCAGTCATGGCCACCAAGGTCAGGCCCAGCAGCTGGGAGAAGGCCACGTAGTAAGGCAGCGCTGCGGGGGTGGATGCCGCGGCCCCGCCCTCCATGCTGAGGCAAACGCTGCAAGAAAGAGCAAAGCTCAGAGGAGCAGCACACAGCACCACGAGATGTGCACAGAGCCCTTGAGATGCACACAGCCCCCGCAGATGTGCACAGCCCCCAAGATGCGCACAGGCCCCCCGAGATGTGCACACCCCCAAGATGCGCACAGCTCCCCCCCCCCACGAGATGCGCACAGCCGCCCCCGGAGATGAGCACGGTCCCCCCAGATACCTACAGCCCCCCTGAAATGCACACAGCACCCCCCGAAATGCACACAGCCACCCCAGCTAGCTGCGCGCAACACCCCCCCCCAGGTTGCGCACAGCCCCCTCCAGATGCGCACAGCCACCCCCGCTAGATGCGCACAGCACCCCGAGATGCGCAAGTCCCCCTAGATGCATGCAGCCCTCCCGAGATGCACACGGCACCCCGATGCGAGCAGCCCCCCTGAGATACACATGTCCCCCTGCAAGATGTGCACTACATCGCCCTGAGATGCGGCGCAGCTACCCCCATGGTGCCCCGCCACCCTCACCCCAGGCTCCTGCTGGAAGCAGCCCTCGCTCTCCCACCCCCAAGCTCCTTCCCACCCATCGTCCACGGGCAGAGGTCCCAAGTCTCAGGAGTGGCTGAGCGGGGGCCCAGCCTCCCCACAGGGATAGGCGTGACCTGGGACACGACACCAGGAGTTCCATATGCGGTGAAGGGGCAAGGAAAGACACCCCAAGTTCTAGTGAGCGCAAGGGCCCAGTGCCTGGCTTTCTTTTCTGTTTCATGAGGCCCTGGCCTTCCCTGGGTGGGCTTTACAGGTGAGTTACACAGGCGAGCGCGCTCCTTGAAGGGAAGGAAGGGACTGGTCACACCTTTTCTCCAGACGCATCATGAAATACATCTGGGGAGAAATGGGAAGTCTCCCTCCCCTAGCCCGGTTTTTAACTCCAAGCTGGCGATGAGGAGGCTTCCCCACCCCACACCCAGGAGAGCCAGCCCCGCTCCCCCAACCCCCCCTCCCCCCCCATCGCGCCTGCAGAATAGAAGTGCTCTGACTGTGCTACACACAGGCACCTGTCAGCACACAGAGAAAGGGCGCTTCCCCTCCAAGCAGGGGGCGGGGAGGATCCGCACTCTAGAGGGGCGCTCAGGTGAGGTTTCCAAAACTGAAGGCCCCCAGAAACAAGGCCTATGAGGGGGCTGGGTAGAGCGCAGCACGGCTGTCCCTGGTGCTCCACCCCACGTGACCCTCCAGGAGGAAAGGAGAGCAGGTGGTTCCTAGGGAAACAGGAATGAGAAGGCCCTGCTAGGAGCCCAAGGGAGTGCCCAGTGCCTGCACAGTCTCGTGCCAGGCAGGAGAGCACCCAGCAGCTGGGGATGGGAGGAGAGGTGGCAGGAGGAGAACAAGCATGGCCTCACCTGCTCTCCCTTCACCTGACAGCGGCCTGTGCGCCACGGAAAAGTGCCGCCATGGCCCACAGTTGCCACTGTAACTGCCACCACCATGGCCACCACCATGGCCACCACAAGCAGACCCCAGAGCACTGCTGCTGCCCCCCACCCGCCCCGGACGGTTCCCCACTGGCCCCTCGACACAGTCCAGCCTCTCCTGGCAGCAACTGTATCAGAACTAGGGGGACAGTGGCCAGCACAGGACCACTGACCCCCTTCGTACCCGGCACACGCTCTGCCCTGCAGTGCCCAGGAGCTGGTTTTCAGTCCCTCCCAGGGATGGGCTCCTTCTCTGCTCTCCAGTTCTCTCACCACATCAGACAACTGTTGGCAACTCCACCATTAAAGGGGAGGGGGTGTGTGGGCCAGGCGCGGTGGCTCACACCTATAATCAGCACCTGGGGAGGCCAAGGCAAGTGGATCACCTGAGGCCAGGAGTTCAAGACCAGCCACAACATGGTGAAACCCCATCTCTACTAAAACTACAAAAATTAGCCGGGCATGGTGGCTCACACCTGTAATCCCAGCTACTCGGGAGGCTGAGGCACTAGAATCCCTTGAGCCGGGGAGGCAGAGTTTGCAGTGGGCCAAGATTGCGCCACTGCATTCCAGCCTGGGTGATATAATGAGACTCTGTCTCAAAAAAAATTTTTTTTCTGATTAAAAAAAGGATGTGTGTGTGTTAATAATCCACACACACCACAGAATATGGATCAGCAAAAAAGGTAAAATGACAGGCCATCAGCACTTGATCTATATCCTCACACAACTTCTTCCTAAAAAACACATATGAATCCTTTTATAGAAGCAGGATCGTGCCATGTTCTCACCTGCTTTTTAACTGAGGGCGTAGCACACATGGATGTTTGTGTCAATGGATATGCGCCCACATCATCATTTTCGTAACCTCACACTCTTGCATTGCACGGCCATTTTTTAGCCAACTAGTTCCCATTGCTCAGCATTTAGCTAGCTTTCAGTTTTCCACCAAATAAACAACAGGATGTGGCCATGTTTGCAAACTTCTCTGCAGGGAATCCTGAAACAAGGCCTAGGTTCTGTTTTAGATTTCTGACACATTCCGTCACATCATCTCCCAGAAACACAGCCCCAGTCCACATTCCCAGGGTGGACGGGAATACAGGATTCCAGAAGCCCCAGCCAACAATAAATCCTATTTTTGGAACTCCTGCCTCTGTCTTTATCTGTCACCTACAGGGGTATCAGTTCTGTCCCCACCACCCCAAATTCAAGCCCCATTTCTGACATTCACTATTCATCTCTACCTGGACATCCCACAGATGCTTCAAACTCAGCTCATTCCAAGTCACCTCCTCTCCCGTCGTCACCAAATTATCTCATGCCCTCCCCACTAGCTAGTGGGGCTGCCCTTCTTCCAGGCCCAGGTGACACCTCAGCTCCTCCACAGAAGGCTGCCCAGGTCGCCGCATGCTGGGGCCCCTCCCCTCACTTCTCTCCTGAGCATCCTCACTGCCACACCCAAGTCAGGGCCTGCAGCTTCTCTCTCTTCAATGTGACAGATGCACCAGGGACAAAGCCAGCTCCCAAGGTCATGCTGTCCCCTGTGCAAGAGGCCCTGAGTGCCAGTGAAATGCCAGCTGCCTGGCATGATCCTGCCCGTTTCCATCTGCAGCCCCCACTGTTCCTACTAGGCCCTCTAGGGGAGACGCCTGGGCTCACAGAATCCAAGGACACGGTCTAGCCTGGCCTGCTGCTGCGGACCCCACACCCCTGCCTCCACTCCCCAGACACCACGGTGGGCAGACCACTTTGTCCCCAGGCTCTCCCGGAGCCTCCTTACCCTGGCAGTGTCCTGTCTGCTCCTCAAAGGCAGGGACGCTCTCGATCCTCCTTGGGAATCCTTGGGTCTCTAATACTCTGAGTCTAACAGGAAAATGTACTAAAAGAAGTGCTGTCCCCCCCGGTCACTTGTCGTCTGTCCTCTCCAGGTCGCCGCCTCCTTTATTAGATTCATCCCCAGAGAGCCCGGCTGCAAGCAGAATCTGATTAGCAACAAATTAGGAAGAACAGAGGGGACACCACCCCTCCCTCTGCTGGGAGACCTGGCAACTTCCTCGCGCCTCGTGGAGTACAAAGGGCAGGAGAGGCCGGCAGAGTGAGGGGCCGCTGCCAACTCCTTCCTTCCCACCAGGCTGCCCAGGAGACAGCGGACCTCAGAGCCAGGCTCTCTTCTCGCAGTGCCGACTGCCTGCGGCTTCAACATCCTACGGTGAAATGCCCGGCCTGGCCTCCCGGGGAGTTGGAACCCTAAAGTTGTTTGCTCCCCATCATGGCAGGGCAGACGTGTGCTTGGTGTGTCAGTAGGGTGGGGACCCCACAGCCTGTAAGCACCTGCCCTATGCTGGGTACTTCATGCCATCTCTCATGTCACCCTTAAATGACACTGTGTGGATAACAGGAGCATTGCCCCAGTTTGACAGGCCAGGAAATGGAGGCTCAACGAGGACAAGCGACATGCCCCCAAATTCCCATCGGCAAATAGCAGCTCAACTCGACCCACCACGCGCCTGCACTCGGCCAAGTGCTGGGGCCACACAGAGGGGGCCTGGTCCCTGCCCTCAAGGGGCGTGCAGATGAGCGGTGCAGACGCAGATTTTCAGGTAAGGGTGATATAAGTTCAAGCCAGGAGCTAATCTGGGCCTCCAAGACCCGTGCCAATGTGCACACGGAAGACGGCACCCCTGCTTTGATGTCTGTGGGCAACAGCGTCTCTAGCTCTCCTGTGAAACAGTGGCTGCCTGCTCGTGGCTTTGGCCTTTCCAAGGCCCAGGAACTAGGGTGGCACTGTCAGGCTTTCCAGACTGAAGTCAGCAAGGATCTGTGTTGGAGCTCACTGAGGAAGCTGCTTTGACGCAGGGGAAGCTCCCGGGGCGGTGCCCCCCCTCCTGTGCCAGTCCTCCTGCGTCCTCCCCGCCTCGGTTTCACCATGGCACTAAGCACTGGTGCGTGCAAGACAGCAGGCCCTGACCAAAGGTGAGAGGGAAGGGGTTACAGGAAGGCAAACAAGCCACGGAAGCTGCATTTCCGTTTGCTCCTTAAGGCGGCTGTCCTGGCCCAGGCAGCCCAGGGACCCGGGGCCCCTGGTCATCTGGAAGGAAGCCAGAGATGAACAGGGGCCTCTGGAATGACAGAGGCCTGCTTCCGATTCAAAGGCGAGGCTTCAAAGTCTAAGTGTGAGGATGACGGGAAAGCCCGTGGCTGGCCTGCAGGCATCGCGGTCCATAGGTTCTGAGTGTGGCTCTGTGCTTTACAGGAGATGAGCAGATAATCCCTTCCCTAACAGGGCTCTCGGGAGGCCATTCATTGGACGTAATTGACAACCCATTTGTGTGCAGGGAAGGGCTGTGTCCCATGCCAGAGGTGGGGGTGTACAGGAATAGACATTCTGATATCTCTGGACAGAATCTGACCCACCCACAAATGTGTCTGCTGCATTTGCACACCTGGACATCGGGTGAGATTTACTCCCTAGGAAGCAAGCCTTTGAATCGTGGCTCTCATTTCCCAGTCTTGACAGCAAGAATACTCTCACCCTTCCCTCCTCACTGGGCAGCCCTGGGACACTGGCTGTTCTTGGGCCCTCTGTGTTCTCAGAGCAGAACTGTGGGCAGCAGCTTCAAGGCCTGGAAGTTGCCACTCTCCACCCCCAAGGGCTCCGCTGCCCTGCAGACCAGAACTCTGCAACCAGAGGGGGCTCATGTAGCCCCTCACACAGTCACTTGCCTTCCTCTGTGAGAGCTCAGGATGAGAGTGATAGATCTCTGGCAGTTTCTGGAGCTTAGAGCTGTGAGAGTCACCCTTGTCCCCACCCACTCACCCCACCTGTAGCCAGACTCCACTTAATGGAATAAGCACATTAAGGACAGCATGGCCCACAAAGCTTCACTGAGCCAAGCATCACTCTCCCTCCCCACACCCACTGTTTTTTATTAAAAGGCGACCAGGACTAATCTCATTATTGGGGACCAGACACTGCACATGGTGCACAGCCTCGGGGGCGGAAGGCGGAGCAGGGGAGGCTGGGAAGTGGGTAGCCTGGGCTGGCCACAGCCCTCTTTATCAACAGCAGGGTCTGAATTGAGTTAGGAAAGATTGTGACTGGGGAAAGGCCGATATCTCTTCTTGATGGGTGAAGGGGAAAACAGCTCAATTGCCCTAGAACATCCTATCATGTGATGAAGGAGAAAGCAAAGTGTGGTGTGAGTTATTAGGGTACTTTCTCAGCACCCCAGTAGGTGGTGCTTCCCGTCCCATGCCAGTCCTCCTGCATCCTCCCCACGCCGGCACCAGCATGGCACTAAGCCCTGGTGCATGCAAAGACACCAGGCCCTGAGCAAAGTGTGAGAGAGAAGGCATTACAGGCGGGCCAACAAGCCGCAGGGGCTGCATTTCCATTTCTCCTGGGGTGGCTGTCCTGGCCCAGGCAGCCCAGGGACCTGGAGCATCCAGGCTGCTTGGACCAAGGAACTAGGTACCCAGGAAGCAGCAGAGCCTGAAATCAAACACTGAGCTCCTTTCTCCCACAAAACAGAGGGCTCCGAATGCTTACAAACAAAAATGTTTCCATTTCCATGAAAATCAGAAGAAAAAAACTGAACATTCAGGGTTGAGGAAAATGTTGCAATTTTTAAAAACTTACTTTAATTTTTTTTTTTTTTTTTAAACAGTGTCTAACTCTGTCACCCAGACTGGAATAGTGGCATGATCATAGCTCATGGCAGCCTCGAACTCCTGGGCTCAAGGAATCCTCCCACCTCAGCTTCTCAAGTAGCTGGAACTACAGCTATGCTAAAATGCCCAGTTAGTTTTTTCTTTTTTTTTTTTTGGAGAGATAGGGTCTCACTATGTTGCGCGGGCTAGTCTCAAACTCCTGGTCTCAAGCAGTCCTCCTGCTTCAGCTTCCCAAAGCTCTGGGATTACAGACAGACATGAGCCAGCCCTAAAATGTTTTGTTTAAAAATTAATTTTAATCCAGTATGGATTATACTTGTCTTTATACCAATGCAGTTGTAAAATATAATTTTATTATTATTTTCCTTTTTTTTTTTGAGACGGAGTCTCGCTCTATCCCCCAGGCTGGAGTGTAGTAGCACAATCTCAGCTCACTGCAAATTCCGCCTCCCAGGTTCATGCCATTCTCCTGCCTCAGCCTCCCGAGTAGCTGGGACTACAGACGCCCACTACCATGCCAGACTAATTTTTTTTTTTTTTTTTTTTTTAGTAGAGGGGTTTCACCGTGTTAGCCAGGATGGTCTCGATCTCCTGGCCTCATGATCCACCCACCTCGGGCTCCCCAAGTGCTGGGATTACAGGCGTGAGCCACTGCGCTCGGCCAATTTTTTTTTTTTTTTTTTTGAGACAGAGTCGCACCCTATTACCCAGGCTGGAGTACAATGGCAAGATCTCGGGTCACTGCACCCTCCGCCTCCTGGGTTCAAGCGATTCTCCTGCCTCAGACTCCCCGAGTCTGAGATTACAGGCGTGAGCCACCACGCCCAGCCAATTTTTTGTATCTTTAGTAGAGACGCACTTTCACCATGTTGGCCAGGCTAGTCTGGAACTCCTGACCTCCTTATCCGCCCACCTCAGCCTCCCAAAGTCCTGGGATTACAGGCGTGAGCCACCGCACCTGGCCAATTGTTATTATTTTTTTTTATGGAACAAGGGGCCCATGAAAGGCCCAGTGCAGCCCAGGTTAGAGAGATGTGATTTCAAAACAGGCTATTTATAACCATCAGCTCCTGGACAAGCCAAGTCTCTTCTCCCAGCCTGCTTCCTAATCTATAAAGTGGAAGGATATCTGGATCTACCTTATTGAACACAGAAAGAGTAAGCGGATAAACGTGTGCCAGTGCCCAGCACAGTGCCTGCCACACAGAGGGCATTCCATCAAAGAGCAATCTTACAAAAACGAAATCTGATCCTAAGAGCACCTTAGGAAGAGTGGTACTGCCGACACGAGGTTTGGGGCCACAGAGAGCCAGATGGCAGCCATCTCTAATAAATCCACACTCCCTTTCTGTCCACCATTACCCCCCCACACCAAGCAGAAGCTCCTGGAGCTGGGAAGAACACAGGATGGTCTGCTTTTAATCTGTGACATTTTATATTCCCAAAATTCATTTATGAATTGCTCAGGCAGTAGAGTGCTTTTTCCCAGTGAAGTTATGCTTTTAGAGGGGGTTCATTTCTCATTCCCTTCCACCAATGCCATCTAATGTCACTGAACCACCCGGTATTAGCAGGAGCCCAAGCTCTGCCTGCCAAGGGAAGGTGGTGAGGGCAGAAAAGTGGTAGGGCAAGGCTGGGCGTGGTGGCTCACGTCTGTAATCCTAGCACTTTGGGAGGCCAAGGCGGGCAGATCACTTGAGGTTAGGAGTTTGAGACCAACCTGGCCAACACGGTGGAGGGGAGGGGAGGGGAGGGGAGGGGAGGGGAGGGGAGGGGGGGGGGGGGGGGGGGGGAGGGGAGGGGAGGGAAAAGGAGTGGTACAAGCAGGGTGGTTCCACCTCCAGCTCTAGGGGGCTCCTCGTGCAAGGGGTGGGGCTGCCGCCGCCTCGTATTTTCCTGCCACCACCAAATTTCACAGGAGAAATCCAGGCAACTAGAGGAGGTGGCAAAGTTTCTTTTTTTTTCTTTTTTTTTTTTTTTTTTTTTTGTTGTTGTTGTTTCATTAGCTATTAAAACAAAGGGGTAGAATCTAGGTGCCCTAGATGTCACTTCATTTACGGAGTCAGAAAATCCACAAAGGCTGCCAAAGTGGAATGAATGAGAGGAGAGGAGCCACCAGAAAGGAGAAGTCTGGGAAGGGGGCCCTAGATCCACACGGATGATCCTCACTTCGTGATACAGTCGGGGACGGGGCAGGGAGGGAGGGAGGGTGGCCCCGCCATCTCCCAGGTGTCAAGGTGGCGGCAGCTCCGCCCTCAGCGCAGTTGGCACCAGCCAGACCCACCAAGGCCACTGAAGGAGTGGGGCTTTCCCACTCGGGAAACTCCCATCCTCGCGCTCAGAAGCTGGGGGCGTCGGGAGACACAGGCGGGGACCTGCGGCTCCACGTTGCAGCCCGGGCCCTACTCCGGGCAAGAGACAGTGGCTCCGGTTTCAAGAGGGCAGCCGTGGCAAAGGCTGGTTGGTCCACTTGCACCCTACCTTGCTCTAGAACGCGGCGCAGGAGCAGAGATCCAAACTCGGGGTCACTGGAAAGCGGGGGTCTCGGTTCTAACTTCAGCAGAGACCCGGCACCCGGGCAGGCCAGGGCGGGGGCCTCCTGGACCGGGAGAGACTGCCGTCCCCAGGGTGCGGGTCGGCGCCGCAGTCCGGTGTGCGGCCGCAGGGGGCAGGTGCGAGGCCGGCTGCGACTCGGGAGCCCGGCGTGGTCCCTCCCTGCGCAGTCGGGGCTCACCTGGGCCACCCCCGCCCCGCACCCCTGCGCGCTCCGCTCCCATCCCCGGCCCGGCCACCTACCTCGCCTACCCGAGCGTCCCGCGAGCCTCCCCGCGCCGCGCCCGGGTTGCTCAGCCGGTTCCCCGGGCCGTGGCGTGACGGCGTCGCCATGGCAACCAGGCGGCGAGCGGGGCGGGGTCTCCCAGGCCGGAAGTGGCGCACGCGGCCCCCGGGGCTGCCCCCCACGTGCCAGGCCCCAGCGGTTGCAGCCACGCTCGGGCCTGGGCCCTGCCAGCTCCGGCCCCGCACGTAGGCGAACCGCTGTCACCGTGAGCCCGGCCTCGCGACCCCCGTCCGGGGTCCCCACGATCGTGGGCGAGTGGGGTCTGCGGCCCGCGGGGATGGAGGGCCGCGGGGTTGGCCCGGGCAAGCCCCGACTGCGCATGTAAGGACCTGGGGTCAGCCAGGCCTGGGGGTGGGACGGGCCCTGAGAAGGGCAGGTACCAGGGGCGAGACCCGCCGCCCTTCCCCGGCTTGGCCCCAAGCTTCCTGATTTTCTCGCTCCACGCCTCCCCTTCTGCCGTCCACCTTCTTCCCTGCCCTGCTCTCGCCCCGCCCGGGCCCAGGAGGCCACTAGATGTCAGACCGGGTTCAGGCCTTGGCCACGCCGCTGCTCCGGGAGCTCTGGGGGCACGTCCCCAGCCCCCACCGGGGAGACGACACTGCCGGGAAGGCCGGGACTAACCCCCGCCCCCGCAGAGTAGCCTGCGGGGAACACCGGTTCCACCAGGCTCTCACGACAGCCGAGACCTTGCCGTCCGCAGCTTCCCCTGCCCAAAGCGCGGAGAAAGGAGGGCGCCGAGGCCAAGACCAAGAACGGGAGCCAGCCCCTTAGGAGCCGGGTCCAGGCCCCCGGTCCAGGAAGCGCTGTGGGTAGATAAGGGGTCCAGCTCAGACTTCCTACAAGCTGGGAACAAAGGGTTCTTTCCTGTCTGATGCCGGGCCAGATGTAGCAAGCGCCTAGGGTTAGGAGGGAAATGGGGTTTCCTCCCCGCAGAGGGAAACCGGCCTCGGTTCAGGAACGCCCTTCCCCACCTGCCCTCCAGGCACCAAGGTTCTGGGAGGCCGGGGGGCAGGGAGACCTGCTTACTTGAATGCACTTTGTGTAAACTGTGGGCTTCCCACGGGCAGTGGGCAAGGTAGGCCCTGGGGATCCAGTACTCGCTGAGTACACATTGAGCAGAGTCTCCAGCGCCAGGCGAGACGCACAGGCGTGTCCACTGCACATGGCATACCGTGGCACATGGCACACCTTCCACGGGCAGGCACAACGGCCTGACACAGCAGGGCCCACTCCCTCAGAGGGACCAATTTTTAGAGTATCTTTCAGTTGGAGGAAATTAATGGATAATTTAAGGTAAGAAACAGCTTCCTTAGCGTGCTAACAGGCAGAATCCCTGTGTATTGAGCCATGTCCTTTGTTTGGTCTGTGGATTTGGACTTGGAGAAGGAGTCCAGACCGGCTGAGCAGGACTGAGTTCCCTGGTGAGAGCCCTGGGCCTTCAGCCCCTTCCAAAGCCAGGAGAGACTCCTGCTGAGGAGTCATGGGGGCACTTTGGCTTCCCCCTCACCCCACCGCCCTGCAGCACTGGGCTGCAGACTTTTCCCTTAGGAGGGAGAACAGCCGCCTCCCTGCCAGCAGTGTTCTCAAGGGCCTATTTCCAGTGGGGAGGGGTGGGTGAGGATATTCTGAGGGAGGGAGAGGCCTGCACACCCGCTGCATGGCGGGGGCGCATGGCTACACCCAAACCCATTTTAAAGAACAGGCAATGCCACCAAACTGCTGTCCGGCACTAGGGCCCAGAGGGCTCGCGCCAGCTGCCAGACTGCCTACCTTGTAACCCTGTTCCTGCTGCCTTGGAAGCCTGAGAAGTGTGCAGTCCTTCAGCTTGGGAAAGGTGGGAAAGGAGAGGACCCTTCCTGCCCTTTCTTGAGTGGCCCAAGATGAGTTCCAGGGCCTCCTGAGTTGTGCTCACGCCTGTAATCCCAGCAGTTTGGGAGGCCGAGGCGGGCGGATCACCTGAGATCGGGAGCTCGAGACCAGCCTGACCAACACGGAGAAACCCCATCTCTACTAAAAATACAAAATTAGCCGGGCGTGGTGGCGCATGCCTGTAATCCCAGCTACTCCGGAGGCTGAGGCAGGAGAATCAC